ATGTTTAAGAATATAACTAAGCTTTCTTTCATCTTGTGGTAATTGCTGCACACTTCACCATGACTGTCTTTTCTAAAAGTACTGCTTCATCCTTGGGTGTGGTCTTCATAGTCAACCTCTAGACCTTGTTCTCCGGGTCCTCACAGTAGCCTGATTTGGGGAGGCTCTGGGAGTCCATGTATCTCCATCTCAGCCCACTTTGGTTTCTTAAAACCAGAGGTCTCTACTGCTGTCTGGAAATGCTGGGACTCCTCATGGACTACAGATATTCTGCATCTGTCTCTCAAATCTCTGCTCCTGAGGACTCAGGTTTCATCATGAATCGAGCTTCTAAATCTGTAGCTGAATCCAATTCTTGGGAAATCACCTCCAAGGTCACAGTTCACTTTATACCAATCAAGAGGAAGATGGGTGACAGATGACGGGAAATACTCATCAGGCCGGGTTGAAAGCATATGCGACTTTTTCCCTGGCCCCATTCCCAACTGCTTCTCATGGATGTTGAATGTGCTTAGATCAGGAGGCCCCTGCTCTGCACACCCACTGTCACTCCTCCTGGCGCTGCCCTGGGCTGGCCCCAGAGATCACCACAAATGTGACCACATGCTGTGTTCCAACACCCTGCTCCTTGCCTCCAAAACAAAGAGAGATTAAGGCAAATATTGTTAGTAATGTATGTGATGTTTTTATCCAGTTCTCTTGAAAATGTTCCCATGGGGTTCCAAATTGGAAACAAGTTGCTACATACATTGCACTTTTAAAAACGTAGATGCAGCCAGGTGTGGCGCTGCATGCCTGTAATCTTGGTCCTGAGGCAGGAAGATCGCTGCAAGTGTGAGGCCAGCCGGGGCTACATGATGAGTGCAAGGCCAGCCCGGAATACATATTAAGAATCTGCCTCAAAAAGCAAACAAAAAACAAAAAATAGAATTAAAGAACCTGAGATTCTACACATTAGAAACTCTAACAAAGGAAAACACTTCAAAATACAAAATACTGGTCAGGAGAAATCCTCATGAGAAAGAAAGGATCTGGCCTGAGAAGCAACAGCTTAGAGCAGGTACACAGCAAATGAGATACAAAACAATAAATGAGCTATGATTTAAAATAGGGTATAAAACACTCCAAGTCCTTTAGCAGTGGTTCTATGAATTTCACTTTATTTGTCAGGTCCAGAAAAACTCATTTCACAGATATCTGAACAGCAAAGGATTATCCATGTCACTTTACATATATAAACTAGAATTCTCTACACCAGAGCCCAGACATGGAGGTATGTGCGTGGTCAAAAGTTAGAGGATAAACTGTCTTAATAGTACTGATCAGCCTGTTGGTCATCTGTGATGATTATATGTCACCTTGCTGAGCTTTTTTGATTTGATGAATTTTAAATCAATGAACTCTGAGAAAGGAATGTTCCCCTCCATCATGTGTGTGAGATTCATTAATCAGGAGAGGGCTGCACAGAACAAACCACCAGTATCACCAATCCCCGGGATTCTGCAGCAGACAACCTCCAACCTCACCTGCACCTCCAGCTCCCTGGTTTCCACCTGCAGCCCACACCGCAGAGCGGGGACTTTCCCACCTCTTTCATCCTATGAGCCAATTCCTGAGGAAAAGTCTCTTTCCTTGTACTGAATTTACATGCCCTGTTTAGCTCTGCTTTTCTGGAGAACCACATTTAATCCAGTCCTGCTAGACAAGTCAGGGTCAATCAGAGTTGCACCACAAATTATTTAGCATCCTTTATAATGCTAAAGATAAAGGACATATACCATTGAAATCATTTTGAAGTTTCTGTTTCTGCACAAATCTGTTTGGGTCCAGTATGTTTATTCATTTTTTCATTTTGTTTGGCTTTCAAGTGTCTTTGGTAAAGAAACAGAAGAAGCATTACATTTTTAATTTAGATTTTGTAATTTAATCCACCTTTACATCCTCCTTAGTCAGCAAGGTAAAAGCCAGGCAGTTTGCTGATCTCTTTCAAGACACAGCATTGTGTTTATGGAATTTTCCCCTTGATTTTCTATTATTTTTTATTATTGGTTTTATGTTTACTCTTTAGGATTGAAATACATTCTTTGTACCATTCCAACCCATTTTATATACACAGAGATGTACATAAGTGCATGCGAGGCTGTTGTTGTCCATGATCTAATATGGATGGGGGAAGGATGGGTAAAGGAAATAAAAAAGAATCAAGGTATGATAAGTACATACACCTACTTTCCAAAATACAATTAAATATTA